TTTTTTTTTTTTTTTTTTTACAAGATGTTTAAAATTTATCAACTATTTTGTTATTATTATGAAGATAATTTTAATATTTTCTGATTTTCCTTTTATTAACATCTTATGATACCAAAAATTATTATGATAAAATTGCATTAAATATTATTGTTCGATACACATATTTAATCTCTTTCCTTCCTATTTAATTAACTCTTTCCTTTCTCAATCACTCTTTCATTTCATTTAATCTCTCTTTCCTTTTTCAATCACGCAACACATAATTTTCGTGTCCCTCTCCAGTCCCATGTCATATCCGTGTCAGAATGTGTTAACTTTAGACTTTGTGTTCCTAAAAGATTCTAATTTCCTTTTATATATAATTTTTTGTATAATCGTTTTAATATTGTATAGTTTTATGTATAATGTGTATTAATAATCTTGAATATATTTTACTAAATAAAATAATATTGACACACACACACACACATATATATATATATCATTTTTTTATACCAAAAATCATTATGATAAAATTGCATCGTTGTATTTTCTTTGTGTTCGAGAGACTAAACAGATGGATTATTAAAAATTTTCGATTTTACTAAATATCATTGTTGGATTGTGTCTTATTTTATTTATCAAATACACATATTTAATCTCTTTCTTTTCTATTTAATCTCTTTCATTTCTCGGACTACCCCAATCCCATATTGTATTCGTGTTTGTAATGACTCTCCCTCATCATCACGATGTGTTAACTTTAGACTTTGTGTTTCTAAGATTCTAATTTCTTTTTATAAATAATTTTTTGTATAATCATTTTAATAATGTATAGTTTTATGTATAAGGTGTATTAATAATCTTGAATATATTTTGCTAAATAAAATAATATTGACACACACACACACACATATATATATATATTCGTTAGTAACAATGACTTAGATTACCCATTGTGAATTCACTCTAACTTTCTTATGTTGTAGAAAATACTTGATTAATATTCTAATAAATAAAATATTTTTGATATAAATAATATTTTATTTTATTGTAATTATTTTTATAATATATTAGTAATTTGAATAGATACATATGTGTAACATAATATATTTCATATTTGAAATAATGAGAAAAAAATGAAAAAAGTCATGTAGAGTAAATGTAGCGCAAAATATTTGAGATGAACTTTGATTGTTGGTTAACTATACGAGTGGAGTAAATTTTACACTATATGACCGCGCGTTGCAACGCGCAAATTAGAATTTATATTTTTCCTTGACTAATATCTACTAACTAGTAGTAGAGACGAGTAAAAGGTAGATTCCACGAGGAGTGAATCAAATCGTGAATTTTTCGTATTAATTGAAATTATAAAAAGCGATAAAGAAGGAGGGGAGGGGGGGGGGTGGTTGGTTGGAATATAAAACTAGAATAACTAAAATCTAATGCAACAAATAAAATCTAACGAAAGAAATAAAAACAAATTAAGAAAATTTTCTAGTTTCTCGGTTCTGTCTACACCCTCGCTCGATTAGTTTAATCAATTGTGACATCAAGTTTCACTATCTTGGGAAATTACTAGCCCTAGATAGCAACACACTTCGCTATCCAAAATCTTCCTTAATTTTAATTTAACCGCGAGAAGCTTGACAATTAAACATGACTTCTTGTACAGTCTAACACACGCTCTCTAGTTTTAATACAATTAGCCGCTTTAGGATCTAGAAAAATAGGCTAATCTAAGTAGTGAATTCGACCGTGTGGTTCACTTAAGTAGGCCGTGTTATCTCTGTTAGTTACCAGCTCCCAGTTGCTACTTATGAATTAAACATAACAACAATTACGAATTGCAAGTTCAATTCTAGTATTAGACATGAAAATCTTATCTAGGTGATCAATCTAAATAAATCAAACATATCATGGTTGTTTAATCAAAATAACACAAACAATTTTATAAAAATAGCAAAAGAATCCATCACCGTAATTATTTAAACATAGTCAAGTACGTAGGGTTCGACATCCCCGAAACTAGAAATAAAATCTACTTTAGCATAATAAATATGAAATAAAAGAGAAGAATAAACTTATCCTTCTCGTGTGCGGTGTGGTCTCCCTCCGCAATTTTTCGGGTTCCTCGTATTTGTATGTCTGCGCATGTCTCTCTGTTCTTTCTCCTATTCTTTTCTGCCCTCTGTTCTTGCATGTGTTTTTCTGCTTTCCAAAAGATTTTTTTCCCCCATCAAATAAATTATCAATAAGTAGCAACTAAATCGATGTTGCATTAGGACTCCCAAATAATTCTCCTGAAGTCTATAATTCGCAAGCCCAACTTTCTCATTCAACTCATTGGCCCAAATCAAATCCAATTGACATTAATTATGGGGCTTAATATGGTCCGATATTGGATCCCGAGTATTGATCGCTTCAACTTTCGTTCATTATTGTGCGTTCTCAAATTACTCCAATATTTAAAAAATAAACCATAAATATATCATAACATTTAAATTCATCTAATAAATAAATAAGTCAGAAAATATACAAGTGCGATAAAATTAGCCATATAAAAATACACTAATAAATATATAAAATACACACTTTTTTCAACCAATCATTATAGTAGAGGTAAATGTTGGAGATTGTCGTATATTATCGCACAAGTGTTGCATATTCATATATTTCACACTTTATCAGCTGAAAAATTTAACTTATCAGTGAACAATGTGAAAAACTTAGTATATCTTCGGAACATGCATAAATAACTATTTTCTCGCGCTCCATCAAAAGTATACAAAATTCGAATAGTTGAAGCCAAATTCCATTGACATAACTTCAAAATTAGTAGGAATTAGGAATAGAGGTTGTCCCTCAATAGAATAGAATGGAATAAAGACACGTGAAAATGGAGGAGTATTATTTCATTTGTTTCCTTTTATATTCTCTCCAAGTTTTTTTTTTTGTTTTTTTTATCCATGTTTTTTTTTTTAATCAACATGGCTGCAATTAATAAACTTATGTGTATTCGTTTAGGATTTTTTAAAAAAATTGTCGAGACTTTAAGGTGTATTTAATTTCGATGTTTTAAAACTTTTAGAAATTTGAGTTATTCATTTAAAATTTAAAAAAGTCTTAACAAATCAGATTCTATTTAACTTATGTGATATTGAAAATTTACTAATTTTAAAGATTAGTTAAAATTTCATAAACAGAAACCTCTCACCCCAATTTCAGACATGAGAATTTCAAGTTTTTTTCTAAATCTCAAAATCTTGAAATGTCTCAAATTTTTAAAAAGTCGTAATGTTAGGAAATCAGTAATATAAAATTGGGGATGACTTGATTTTGACTGATTTTTTTATGACTAAATATTTAATTCGGGTTGAATTAAAATGTGTAGAAAAATTCAACGTTCCGAGTAGATACTCGTGGTATAGTCAATTCTCAAAACTGATATTCAATGAGTAAGAAATAAATGTTAGTCATAAATGGGCACGCAGAATGTTGGTTGTGGGATTCGAAGGGTCAATGAGATTAACTCTCTTTATTATAATAAAGAGAGTTGGAGAGGTCACAACAACAACAAAATTATGCACCAAGTGTTGGTGTACAAATCGAGTTGGTTTTGGGCTCGAGTTTTGACTCAACCCGTGTGACAAAGTTCCAGGTACATTGAACTTGGACTATGACCTTTCAATAGTCCACCACATGAGAGTATGGGGTGAATTAATGGTGAATTAAACTTGAAATGTTTTGCAATTAAAATCAAGTCATGAATGGTTGTTAATAGATTGGTGGTTACAAGTTGAATAGTCATCAAAACAAGTCATAAATAGTTGTTAATGGCTTGGTGGTTACAAGTTTTGAATAACCATCAAAACCAGTCATGAATGGTCTTAATGGCTTGGTGGTTACAGAATGAAGAGACATCCTCCACCTAGGTGGAAGCCTATAAATAAGACATTGTAGAGACTTGATCGAGACACGGAAAATCTCATATGCATTCTCAACTCTCTCATCTCTCATAGTCTCACGCATACATCGTGCTCAGTTTTCGTCTCTGTTCCTGTGCATCTGAACTTTGAAGACTAGTATGCTACAACTTCCGAGTGTATAGCCGTTGTATCTTTAGGGACATTACGCACAGAACTGTCAGCACTATACATGGCGTATTTGTGTTGCGAAAAAATTTCTATCGCCCCGACATTAGTCTACCCGCATTTGAGTTGTATATATATTTCTTGCTTAGTTCATATTGTACGAACTGAATTCAGGGGCAAACGCAGACTTTAAAGATAACGGGGGCACAAACTACGGTCAACAGTCAACGTCGTAGGTCGATGGTCAAATCAATATTTAACCAATTAAAAAATAAAAAAATAAAATCTTGACAAACACCTTGTTTCTTATTTAATTAGATAGGGTTAAGTCTCACATTCTCATTTTAATCAAAAACACATATTGTGTAACACTTATGTTATCTCTAACATGCCAAATGACTACACCTGCAATGTTTTTTTTTTTTCCTTTTATCCATTTTA